CTCCATCTGATTGGTGTCACTCTATGATACCTACTACTCGGAGGAAGTGAGAATTGGAGTGTTATTTACAAATGTAGGAACATTGTGTGTTTATAATTCATGAAAAATAGATATAGAAGAAGTGAGCTGTTGGACTCTGTAGATCAGATTACTGAGATGATGCAGATGGTTAAATTGATTAACTTTACAGATTGATAAGCTGATATTTTATATATAGAAAACATAGAAGATCAGTTAAGTTCAGCAAACCAAAGGCTGCACACTAATCATTTTCATTTTTAGAAAAAATAAAGCCAAAAGAAAAATGTTGCTTTTGCATGCTGACTTTAAACATCTGCATTTGAGCTCATTTTTGTTGTCTTTTATTTCACCCCCTCTCTCTTTCTTTCTCTCTCTCTTTCCTAAATTCTGACTTGTGAAACTGTTTCTCCCTGTTTTCTTTTCCTATGCACCTTAAAGCACACATATTAACCATCCTTGCTACCGCCTAGACCAGTTAAGTAAAAATATAAAACCCCAGAATTTCAAAATACTTTATCATTTTCACAGGGGTTAGATGCAGTTCTGTCTGTGTATGTGTTTATAGTGCATTGCAGAGGTACCCAGTTGAATAGCACAAGAGTTAGATCCAGAGCTTAGAGTTTGGTATAATGTTCCTCCTGTGATGTTGTGGTCCTTCTAGTCCCTTGTGTATTGTAGATGGTTGTGAAAGTGAATGCTCATTAGCTTCTCACCTGCCCTATTTTTCTTTGTGTACTGTGTTTAAGTTATTAGCTCAGGTGGGGTGGAGACTACAAAAGATCCTTTTAAGTAGAACCAAAGAATAGCATTGGAGTTTCATGTTTATGGGTGGGGTGTCACAAGAGTTTAGCCATATCTGTGGCTTGCATCTCAAATTGCCTTGTAATAGTGGAACTGATCCATTTAAATTTTTTTTATTTTTATTTATTTATTTTTGTTCTTGTTTGCATTTGTTTAACTACATAAGTAATCTTTGTAAAGGCCTTTTTTGGTCTT